GCCATGATTTATCAAATCACTTTGCTACTGATGGACTTTCAGGTTGGGACTATTATGAAAAAGACTGCTTGTAGACTCCTAAAGTGCAAGAAATAAAATCAAGAATCAATAAATGGGATGGATCCAAACTAAAAAGCTTCTTCTCAGCAAAAGAAACAATCAATGAGGTGAAGAGAAAGCCTACATTTTGGGAGCAAATTTTTGCCACACGCACGTCAGATAAAGCACTAATCTCCAGGACATATAAAGAACTTGAAATAACTTAACACTAAAAAAAAACAAACAACCCAATCAATAAATGGGCTAAGGAGCTGAACAGACACTCCTCAGAACAAGAAATACAATCAATCAATAAATATGTAAAAAAATGGTCAACATCTCTAGTAATTAGAGAAATGCAAGTCAAAACTACTCTAAGCAGAGCACTTGCCTAGCATGTGTGAAACACTGGGTATGATCCTTTGCACCACATAAAAATAAACATATAAAATAAAGGCACTCTGTCCATCTAAAACTACAAAAAAAAATTTAACAACTAAGATTTCATCACATTCCAGTCAGAATGGCAGATATCAAGAATACAAGCAATAATAAGTGTTGGCGAGGATGCGGGGGAAAAGGCACACTCATACATTGCTGATGAGACTGCAAATTGGTGCAACCAATCTGGAAAGCAGTATGGAGATTCCTCAGAAAATATGGAATGGAGCCACCATTTGACCAGCTATCCCACTCCTCGGTCTATACCCTAAAGATTTAAAAACAGCATACTACAGTAACTCAGCCACTTCAATGTTTATCGCAGCACAATTCACAATTGCTAAACTATGGAAGCAAACTAAATGCCCTTCAATAGACAAATGGATAAAGAAACACAATGGAATATTACTTACCATTAAAAGAAAAGAAAATCATAGCATTTGCAGCTAAATGGATGGAGTTGGAGAATATCATGCTAAGCAAAGTAAGCCAATCTCAAAAAACCAGGGACCAAATGTTTTCTCTGATAAATGGATGTTAATCCATATGGGGGAGGCATGGGATAAGTGGAGAAACTTTAGATAGGGTAAAGGGGATAGGAGAGGGGACAAAAGGGTAGGAAAGATGATGGAATAAGAAGGACATCATTACCCTAGGTACATGTATGATTGCACGAATGGTGTAACTCCATGTACGCTAGAAAAGTGAAAAATTTTGCTCCATTTATGTTCAATGAATCAAAAACCATTCTACTGTCATGTATAACTGATTAGAACTAATAAATAAATAAATAAAAAGACTACTTGTACATTTGTGTACATGTGTCCTGGTATATAAACCTGGTAATGGAATCACAGGATTCCATGATTTGGTTCCCAGAGAAGTGCCTATGTACATTAAGAGAGGATATTCTCATTGGACCCCATTTAACCCCTGTGGAATGGGCAGCTGCATACAGGAGCATTGCCATAGTCATCATTACTGGGCAAGACTTACAGTGTAGGTTGTTGACCTGAGTCTGAAGGTGACTGAGATTTGAGTCACTGTGGTAACACATGTAAAAAGCTGAGACTCACAGAGACTCTTGTGGTTTCCAGGGCATCTTGTGCCTCAGTTCAGCAGTTTTTGCAGTCAACAGACACAACCTAATATCAGACCAAAGTTCAGCCTCAGGGCTGCCCATTAGTTTATAGCTAGGAGGCCCTGAGACAACCAGGGCCAGCAGATGGCACTCTTTGGAACTAACAGCTCTGGAATTCAGCTCCTAGGGACACCCTGAGTTCTGCTGGACTAGAAGTAAGCACAGAAGGCTTTCACAACTCTAATTAGCACAAGTGTGGGATAGTTTTCATTTGTCCCTCCAGGTACACTCTCTACCTTCTCTTCTCTGTTCTGAGCATATGAGATGACAGCAAGGACCCTTTCAATAGCTCCCTAGCTCTCTGCTCCACTTGGGGTCTGTTATGGTTTAGATATGGTGTCCCCCAAAAGCTCACATGTGAGACAATGCAAGAAGGTTCAGAGGCAAAATGATTGGGTTGTGTCACGATGGGCAAAGGTGCCACATATGCAGTTGAGGGGAGAAATAAAGAATGTCCACGTGCTATGCCCTTTTCAATGTTTTATTCACTGAAATCACTCAATACAATTTACTCAATAGGTTCTTAATCAAGAAATGACAATCCTTAATGCTGGGCACTGCAATAGACATAATCAATTCAAAGCAAACAATTCTAAGTTAATTCTAAGCACTGCAAACACACTTAATCATGAGAGACCTATTACAGACATTACCTCTGCATGCTAAGTACAAATGCCAGATGTAAAATCTTAAGCCTTAGGCCTTAAATCCAGCAAATGCACACTCACTCAGAGCACAGCGATCAGGTCAGCAACCAGTGGAGGCTTCTTCTGGAGGGGAGTTGACAGCTGGTTAAGGAGATGGTCATAAGGAGAAGTCACCATTCTCACCAGAGTTAAGAGGCTGCTATAGAGTTTGAGAGAGGTGAGGATGATGCAGAGGATCAGGCAGATGATGAGAAGAGTTGGGATGTCAGTTCAGATCCTCATCAGGCTCTCTGGCAAGTGTATATCAGTATCAGCTGGCTGAATGTCTGCCCTTTTGCTCTATTATTTATACTAGTTTTTGGAGCTTCTACTCATCCTTTGGGTCCCTATCAATTGTTACCAGATTTCTTAGTGACATTTTACATTTCAGAGCAAAGACATATGGTTTGGTGGCTTCTGCCCTGATTTTACACTTTGACTCTCATCAGGGTTAAGGCAAATGACATATTTATACCAGTGGCTTCACTCTGACTTTGAGTTGTGGAAAGAGATTTGTTTATGGCTTGTTTGTGACTTGTTTGCCGGGCTATGCCTGATGACATATTGGAGGGTTCTGTAGGCTTGTGCCTGGGGAGACTGCAGGTCTTATAATAGAGTTGCTTAGGCCTAAGGTCATCCTTACAGGTTGTGAGAGTCTTAATCCAATCAGTGAGTCAATCCCCTGATAGGGGTTAACTGAGTGGTAATTGAAGTTGTAGGATATGACTAAAGGAGGTGGGAAGGGAGGGGACGGGCGCACGTGGCTTTGGGGTATATATTTGTATCTGGCAAGTGGAAATTTCTCTCTGTTTCCTGATCAACATGTGGGCAGCTTCCCTCTGCCAATTCTTCTGTCATGAGCCCAAAAGAATGGAGTCTGAGGTCTATGGATTGAGACCTCTGAAACAGTCCTCACATCTTTCCTCCTCTACAGTTGTTCTTTAGTCACAGCAGCAAAAAAAGCTAAAACAGAGTCTATCAATGGAGTTTGGCCACTACCACAAGAGAAGTCAAGGAGAGGGGTTGGGAGGTCATTTATTTCCCTGATCCCCATTCTTCTGGGTCAAGAGGATGGTCTGCTTCCCTTCTAGAGATGGAGTCCTATTAGACACCTCTATCCATAAAGCATCTGGACAGCTTGAGTACACTCTCCTCTCTCTCCTTCTCTCTCTCTTTTTCCCCCTTGGAAACTACATCTCTCCTCAGTTACTAAGACCAAGAGGCTGCTCCTTGTTGCTTTTTCTGACCCTACCCATATCTCTTTATATAGTCCCTTTGTTAAACCCTCTTCAAATTATTCAACCTGAGTAGGCTATTTCCTGCCACCATCTGAACTACTTGCAATTGTCATTAGATGGTTGCTTTTGTGTCTCCTTAATTTTTTTTTTTAGGACACAGAGGAATGTGAACTTGGTAAACAAAGGAGGTGCAACAAAATGTCTTCGCTGTAGTCTTTAAACATACCTTGGGAGTGAAAAACAGAGTGAATAACCAGACTTTCTGCTAATCATTTATGATTTGAACATTGAGAGAAATATGAAATTATTTTTATTTTTATTTGCACTGAGCTGGTAAAACAACACATGACTGTATTTATTTTATACATCTATTTCTCTTACCAGCCTAGGAGTGCCTGGGGGGTAATATTCAGCTCTTAATGAATATTAATATTATATCAACCTGCAGATTGTAGATGTTTAAAAAAAAAGTTAATTGACCATAACTGAACTGTAAGGATCTGTCTCTTTGTCTTTGTAACTCCCTATCAGAAATCTCATCCACTCAGGCTAAGTATAAAAAATAAAGTCAGGCAGGGATAATTGAAATAGTCATAAGTAACTGTTTTTATGTCTTCTTGTTTTCTAAGACATAGAGTAACAGCTATTTGATAAACAAAGGAGGTCGTGCAAAATGTCTTTAGAAGGGCTTTTAATCAAATATTGTAAATGATGCATAATTAAGACATCGTTTTAAAGCAAACGGGCACTTAAAAGGGGGTGTTCCTTCCTCTTAAGTAATTTCCCTGACAAGAGCTAGATTAAATAGCAGGGCCATACAGCCATTACATACGCTAATATGGCCAACTCTATATTTGACACCGAAAATCATCTCCGAAATATTTACGGAAACAAAAGTCCAGGTCACAAAACAATGTACAGCACGATCCCAATTTCATAAAATATTGATTTCCATCTACACTGGAGATGGAGAGTGTTTGGCAGAGTTGTTTTATTGCCTCTTGGTATGTGAAAGCGTGGATTTGTTTATTCTTTTTACAAGTATATTTTTTATAAATGAATGGGTGGTTGCCGTTTCCACCGGTGGAGGAAGAGCAGGAGCGGCCGCTGCAGGAGGCGGTGGTCCAGCCGCTCCCTGCTGCCGGAGGCGCTTCACCGTTCGGCGGTGGGGCGCGGGGAGCGCGGGGAGCGCAGAGGGGCCCGCGGGACGCACCCAGGATGCGGCGAGCCCCACGCACTGAGAGGGAGGAGGAGGAGGCCGCGCGGCCGGGCGGGGGCGGGTCCACGCTCTGGCGCCGGCCGGCGGAGCCCGGAAGGCGACTGGAAGGAGCCCTGTTGGAGCCATGGCGGCGCCCGGCGCGCTGCTCGTGATGGGCGTAAGCGGCTCCGGAAAGTAGGTCCAGGAGGCCGGGTGCAGGGGCACCTGGTGGGGAGGCGGGCGCCGTGGTCGGCCGGGCGGGGACCCGAAGGCCCTGGGAGCCCGTGGCACCTGCTTGTCCACCTTCCAACCCGCCCGCCTAAGCCCCGGCCCGGGACCACGGGAGACCTTGGGTCTCTGCGTATAAAACCCAGGCTCTAGCCACGCCGGCCGGGGTCAGGAGCCCCTTGTAAAGAGGCCGCTTGGGCAGAGTGATTGACAGGTTACCAACGTGAGGGACGGCGGTTCCACTCCACATCTCAGGAGGCTCTGAATGCCCGGGGTTGGGACGTTTTGTCAGTCAGGGCCGGAGCCTGCAGAGCCCACGTCCCAGCCTCTTTCAGACGTTTGTCGAACTGGGCGGACTGCTGCCCCCTTGTGTGAGTTTGTGGACTTTTCTGATTTGGTTTTGTTCAGTGAACGTGAAGATCTGGTGTTTCCCCCTTTCTTTGATCAGTATTTATCAAGTTAAAATGAAAAGAGACCCTGTTAATATGGAGGGTGGCTCCTGGGAGTTTGGAGAGAACTCTGGAAAATATGCAGATTCTACCCAGCCAAGCTGCTGGCCCGTTTGGGGATTAGCTTTTGGCTTCCTGATAAAACCAAAATCTGTGTCTTTTATTAAAAAAAACAACCCCCCCCCAAAAAAAAAAAAAAATCCTACCTACTGCAATATCCAACGACAAGCAGCAAAGACAGAACTTAAGAAAATAGCTTTCTAAGGCCTAACAGTATCCTTCTAGAATTTTCTGAATCACAAACTACCTATTTGGTCAGAAGTGTGTTAAAGGCTTTTGTTCCAGGAAGTAAATTATAGCTTTCCAAAATTATCTTGATGTTTTGAACCTCAAAGACAGGAAATCTTATATTGAAATTGAAATAAAACATAGAGCCCAGGACCCTCAGTAATAAAGTACATGCCTGGCCTTTGAGCCCCAGCCTTTCCCTCCACCGCCCCCCCCCCAAAGTAAAACAATTTGAAAATCCCTAGCTGTCCTATGATTTGAAGAAACTAGAATGTATAAAATTATTGTCATACTGTGATGTAGTGAGATCTGAGTCCTAGGTCTTAGATCTCATGCTGCCTGACTTTATGAACTTGAGCAAAGTGTGAGCCTTGAGTCAGATGAGAGGTGTCTGAATCATGTTATTTACAGCTTATAATGTACTCAGTAACTATTTATTGAGCTCAGTCTTTATGTCAGTGTCACATAGTAGACAAGACAGATGAAATTCCTGTCCTCAAAAAGTTTAGATTCTAGTATGGCAAAGGATAAATTAAGGACACCTATACAGTGTGTGGGCTGGGGGTGTGGTTCAGTGGTAGAGCATTTGCTTAGCATATGTAAAACCACCGTGGGTTCAGTCCTGGTAAAACACACAAATCTCAGTGTAGGATATGGTGCATTGGATGGGCCTTTTAATTCAGTGGATATATCAAGGGATCATTGCATATCCAAGTCTGGAGTTAAGAAGAAAGGACTTTTGATGTAAAATGTGGGAATCACTGACACGTGGATGTATTTAAAGACATGAGATACTGAGATCACCATGATAGTATTGAAGTAGAAACTAGCAAAGGACTGAGCCCAGAACACTCTGATGGCTAAAGATCAGAGAGATGTGTCAGATGTTGCTGACTGAGTAATAAAATGACTGAGAATTGTTATTTTTTATCGTTAGGATGTAGCAGCAGTGAATTCTTTGATGATTTCTATGAATTCCTCTTAGGGCCCTGCAGGATTTTTAATTATACTTCATAACATTTGGAAAAATAATTGCCATGGCCTAATGGCTTAAGAGAACAATAGTCTCAAAACAGGAAGATTCCATTTAAAATGGTGTCAAGAAGTTTACCTAGTTAATGTTTTTACTGTGTCCACCCCCCACCACCACCAATGTATGAAATCTTTTTCATTTACTGATATGTGTCCCAAGCAGTGCCTAGCAGATAGTAAGTGCTCAGTAAATATTTGCTGACTTGAAGAATAAATGAATGAACTATTTTAATAGTAGTACTGTTAGTTTTTTATTTTTTCTTTGGTTCTGGGGATTGAACCCAGGACATTATACAAGCTAGGCAAGCACTCTACCAACTGAGTTACATCCCCAGCCCAGCTTTCTTTATATTTTGACAGTCTTAGTGAAGCCACCCTCATCTTTGGTGGATCAAGTGGTCCTTTCAAATATGTTTATTCTGCATCCCTTCCTTTTCCTGCTAGTCTGATGTCTTTTAAGTTCCTTATTCCTGATTTAGACCCACTGGGAGACATTTGGGCCATGACATTTTGTTTGTAATGCTTAGATCTGACCAGTCTCCACCAAAGCGGGCACTCACTTTGTCTGATTTCTACTAGGTCCCTGGTGTGTGTCCAAGAGTCCCCATTTTCTGGTTGAGGAGGTTTGGATGGAGCAGCAGACAGTGGCTTTTCTTTTCCCTTCTATCTTCTTCCTGCCAATCTATACCTGAATCTGCATGGCTTTCCTTTTAGAATATGAGTGACAGCTGACATGTTCATTCATGGTTAATCTAAGTTGGTCTTAAATGTGATTTCTGTTGTGTACAGCTCTGGCTTCATTAGGCATGGAGTTCACCTGGGTTGGTGATTCACCACCTGTCTGCAGCATTCCACCTCTGTGGAATTCAGTAGAGCAAACATAATGGGAAAGGGGTTGTTTCTCCTTCAGTCCTTTGTTTACATCAAGGAGCCAGTCTTGGTTTGATACCAATGTACCTTTGACACTCTGTGATACTTCTTTAACAAAAGAATGACAAGAGGGCTGGGCATGTGGCTCAAGCGGTAGCACGCTCACCTGGCATGCGTGGGGCGCTGGGTTCGATCCTCAGCACCACATAAAAATAAAATAAAGAGGTTGTGTCCACCAAAAACTAAAAAATATATATTAAAAAATTCTCTTTCTCTCTCTTTCTCTTTAAAAAAAAAAAAGAATGACAAGACCCTTGTTAGGCAGAAGTGTCCAACTAGAACTTAGTCACATTGTTTTGTTTTGGTTGTATACATCTTTTTTATTACCTTCTATTTAAAGTGAGCAATGCCTATAAAAGGGAAGGAAAAGGTGTTTCTTTAAAGACTTAATTTTTAAAAGTGAAGTAATTAAATAAAAATAATCAAGTAAGTAATTGTAGGGGTTGGCAAAACTTGAGAGATCGCAGAATAAAATGGTGTAAGAATACAGTAAAAAGAGTCTTTGGGCAACACTTCAGAAACTGAGAGCCAGAAATGACTGGATGCATCACTGTCTGCCAGGCTCCATCCCTCCCCATGGCGCTAGACTGTGAGCCTCAAGAGGGCTGAGACCATGTCTCAGAGATCTCACCATTGGATTGTGGAAACTAGTAGGTGCTCAATATTCACTGATTAAAATACAGGTGAAAGGATAATTATGTACCTCAGGTCCCTTGAGAACACTGAGGATTAGAGGAACAGGCAACTTTCCCAGGATCTCAGACATTTTGTGGCTGAATTGTGGTTATGGACCACACCTCCTTTTTTGAGTTCCTCTGCATTCCCAGCCCTGAGCCCTTTTCTCTAGCTCCCACTGCTTTTTAGGGTACAACAGTTGTTATCAGATGTTGTGCACAGAGAGCATTTAACTCCATTTTTTTTGAAGTTGTAGATGGACATGATACCTTTATTTTATTTATTTTTGTGTGGTGCTGGGGATCAAACCCAGTGCCTCACACTTGCTAGGCATATGATCTACTACTGAGCTACAACCTCAGCCCTTAACTCCCAATCTTCACAAGTGGTGGTTGTTCTTGAGTCATTGACCCATGACCTCTATTTTAAGAGTGTCTTTTTTTGAGGGAAGGGGGTTGGGTAAACAGTGATTGAACTCGGGGGCTCAACTACTGAGCCACATCACCAGCCCTATTTTGTATTTTATTTAGAGACAGGGTCTCACTGAGTTGCTTAGCATCTCACTTTTGCTGAGGCTGGCTTTGAACCCACCGTCTTCCTGCCTCAGCCTCCTGCACCACTAAGATTACAGGTGTGTGCCACCATGCCTGGCCCTTAAGATTGTCTCTTTTAAGCCCCAGTGCTTCTGTATGCCCACTGAACTTTGCATGGATGCAGTTAGAGCTTAAATCCCTCATCAGACTCCTCCCTCCAATTTCCTCAGCAGAATTTTTATCATTTTATTAATTCAGTATTTTCTTTTACAATACAGACCAGAGCACTGATTATTGAAGGGGGGAAAAAAAACTTCAGAGGTTTAATGAAATCTGATATATTGCCTTTTGAAAAACAAACAATAGCAACTGGTTAACTATTTCTTCAAAGGCATTCCTAGAAAACAGGAAGGACATCACTTTAGCATCACACAGGGATTGGCACTTTAGCACGGCTGCCCAGACACCTGTTTCCGAGGCATCCTTGTGAGGAAGGAAGTGCTGCATACTTTGAGGGAGGGCAGTAACTGGAACATCTGTGTCCTCTCCACAGATCAACAGTGGGCGCCCTGCTGGCATCCGAGGTAACCTGTTCTAACAACTGTGTGTCCCATTATGTTCTTGTCCCTTTGCTTTCCCCCCTTTCTTCTGGCCTATGGTGATTTTGAACCAGACACCTCTGCATGGCTTAGGAACCATTGTAGCAAGACAGTTTTTCTCCTTGGTAATTATGAATAGTGGTGAATGAACGGGGGGGGGGGGGGGGGCTTTTCCCTGGTGTGTCTATGGGGGATGTCCTGGCACCTACAATGGGGAGGAAGGTAACAGTGTTGTTTCCACACTGCCCGTTAGTAACATAGCCCTACTGCCTGCCACATACTCTCTTTTCCTTTGTTCTTTAAGCTGGGATGGAAATTCTATGATGCAGATGACTATCATCCAAAGGAAAATCGAATGAAGATGGAGAAAGGGATACCATTGAATGACCAGGTAACTTTGGCTCTCTGTGTCCAACACGCATACTCCACCTGGTGTTGAGATCTCTATCGTGCTTGGTGTAGTGGAGTTCCTCAGTCATGAGATAACCAGAGGATGGGCGCTCCAAAGAGCCAGCTGCATGGTGGGTCCTGCACCTGTTAGCTCTGGCCCTGACCCTCCCTGTAAGCTTAGCACTAGGAGCAGTGTCACCCTCTGCCCCGGCTTGGGAAGGGTCTGCCACAACACCTTGCTGCCAGGTATTAGTCTGCAGAATGTAGAGCCTCCCTGAGAAGGCAGAGGTCCCCTGTGTCACAAACAAGGGGAAGTTCCTCATTTTCTCCCAGGCCCGATCAGCCAACCACCATCACTAGACTCTGACAACCACCCCAAGGCCAGAGTGATCTTGAAAATTCAGCTGTAGCCATGTCATCCCTGCCTGAGATCCTTTAACGGCTTCCTACTGCTCTCAAAGTCCAGGTCAAACACCTAAATTCCTAAACATGTGCAGGCTGGCCTCCATGCCCACCCGCCTCCAACTTATTTTAGATGCTGTGAGCCATCCTCTCAGTCCCTCCTGCTACGATGCCCCTCCCTGAAGGACCTGTGTATCCACTTCTGCCAGGAATGCACTTCCTTTCCTCTTCCCAGAGTGAACCTGCTCATCCTTCAGATCTCAGCTCCCATACCACTGCCTCTGCAAAGCCCTCCCTGACCAACCTCTGAAGCCTCCATGACGAACTCTCAGAACACCATATACCTGTTGTCCTTGTCCCAGTCGCACCTCAGCAAATATTAGTGTGAGAATGTGATTAATCATCTCTACAACTAGACTTTACCCCCAAAAGGGCAGGGACTGTGGATTTATCTGTTAACCATTGTAACCCTAGCCCTGACACAGAGTAAATGTCAGAAAATATTTATGGCATGTTTTGGAGTGCATGAATGTGTGAATGAATGGCACAGTCCTTTATGCACAGTCATGAGGTTACATCCCAAAGAGTCTTTCTCAAACTGGAATTACAAACTCTTGAATTCACCAGCTGAAGGAACAGTAATTCAAGAGAGAGTGAGAGGGCCAGGTCAAGAGCTGGGTCCATCCACACAGCAGCAAGGCACATCTTACTCCCTGGGCTAAATGTGTCCAAAGGGCAGGAACAAATGGAACTGGCCAAAGACCAACGCTTGTTTTACTTTTCATTGGCCTCAGCTCACCCTCCAATTTCATCATCTCCCTTTGCTCTGCCTTGAAAGGTGAGAGTCACAACCATTATTCAGCTGTTCTAGAGAACTCTTTGGCACTTCTCCCTGTTTTAGGAAGTGTCACTTGAGTTTGCAATGGTTCAAGCCTTGAGCCAGCAAAATGACGTTTGCAACATCTGATTTTAGAAGATATGGGACATGGGGCAAGGAAACTATGAAAGAGACACAGGGTAATAATTTAAATAATATTGATATCATACTAGAAATAATAAACAATATAGACAACCTGGACCCAACACCACGCTCTGTGACTTTCAGAAAATGGATCAGCATCTTGGTGCCTTATTTTCTTCCTGTAGATTTAGAATGGTAACAGGACCTATATCAGTGGGTTCTAGGAAGAATTAAATGAAATAATAAGAAAAATATGTGCAGAATAGTGCCCAAAGCATCCAATAAATATCACTTTTTTATTACTATTTCTAGTGTTACACACAGATCCACACACATAAAGTAAATCATTATTTCAGAGTGTAATTGTGCTGGTATTATTTTGTGTTTCTCTTTGGTGAGTGACATAAAAGGTAACAAAGCAAAGCAACCCAATGGATGGGTTTTTTAAAAATATTTATTTTTTAATTATAGGTGGACACAATACCTTTTATTTTATTTTTATGTGGTGCTGAGGATCGAACCCAATGCCTCATGCATGCTAGGTGAGCACTCTGCCTCTGAGCTACAATGGATGGGTTTTTTGTTGTTGTTGTGTTTTTGTTTTTGTTTTTGTAACAGGGATTAAACCCAGAGGCACTCAACCACTGAGCCACATCCTCAGTCTTGTTTATTTATTTATTTAGATACAGGGTCTCACTAAATTGCTTAGAGCCTTGCTAAGTTTCTGAGGTTGGCTTTGCACTTGTGATCCTCCTGCCTCAGCCTCCTGAGCCTATGAGATTACAGGCGTGCACCACCACTCCTGGCCTAAACAGATGGGTTTTAAAAATCATTGAACAGGCATCACTGTTGTTTACCAATGATGCTTGTTCAGTAGGCTCTCTGAATGGGGTAGGTAGAATCCAGAAAAGGAATTTGTATACAGGAGAAAAGCTGTCCCTGCCCTTTTCTTCCAGTGGCCACTGGAAGAAACACAGGTTACAGTGGTGCCCCCTTACCCATGGGGAGTACATTCCAAGACCTCAGTAGATGCCTGAAACCATGGGTAGTACCACACTCTGTGTGATGATGTTTTCCTGTGCATATCTAAGTTAAAGTTTAGTTTATAAATTGGGCAAGATAGGAGATTAACAGTAACTAATAACAAAATAGAACAGTTATAACAATATGCTATAATAAAAGTTATTTAAAACTTGTGAATTTTTGTTTATGAGTTACATTTAAAATTTTTAGACCATGGTAAACTGGGTAACTGAACACTTATAAAGTGAAGCCATGGATAAGGAGGAGCTCTGCACTTTCTGAATGTATCCAAGAGCAACTGCAAGTCAGCCATCCTTAGAGAGAAGCACACCAACCTCAGATACAAGGAGGAAGAACAGCGGGTGTTTTTCATACTTGACAAGAGCTGAGGGAGTCTAGGAGTGAAAGTGTGGGTCACAGCTGTGCTGGCCCTGTGCCCTCTGGTTGCCCTGGTAACTAGTCCTGTGATGCTGTGCTGAGGAGCTGTACCATGTGGATCAAACTACAGTGTCAGAAGCTGAGGCACAGGTTTGACTTGATGAATTCTAGGGGAATTTGGGGATGTTTTATGCTCAGAGAGCTCAGGGCTAAGATCTAAGTTGAACTATCAAGGGCTCCTTGAGGCCATTTAATTGTTAAGTAATTAAAATGAAATAAAATGTAAAATCCAGTTCTGGGTTGAACTGGTCACATTTTATGACCTCAAGAGCCACATGTGGCTACCCTATTGAACAATACAGATCTAGAACATTTTCATCATTGCACAAAGCTCCATGGACAGTGACAGCCTGGAAGGATATTCCCCCCAGGCTGGGAAAACTGATTAGAATGATGATGATGGTATCAATAAAGAATTTCAAAGCTCTCAATCAGCGCATCTCCTCCATGCGTCACCGTGCTGTCCCACGGTGATACCCAAGTAGACTTTAAGGTCTGTTTGAAAAAGAGAGCTTTTACAGTGGCTCAGGAGGCTGAGGCAGGAGGATCACATGTTTAAAGCCAGATGCAGCAACTTAGTGAGGCCTTAAGGAACTCAACGGGACCCTGCCTCAAAATGAAATATAAAAAAGGGCTAGGGATGTGGCTCAGTGGTTAAGGTTCAATCCCTGGTACCAAAAAAAAAAAGGAAAAGAGAGCTTTTAAAAATAATAATTCTCCTTACTGTAAATGTAATATTTGTCCCAGTATTAAAAGAAATCTGCAAAGTACCAATTTTTTTTCCACAGATATATCACCCTTGGTTTCCTCAAAAATATTTACTAATTGAATTTTGTAGTTTTCCCTTTGTGTGTGTGTGGGGGGGGGTGTTCTTTATACATGCATCCTTTCCTTTGTGTACTTAATTTCTGTACCAGGTAAAAACCAACCCTTCTCCCCTCCTCCCCTCATACGCTTTCCACCCTTCCTTCCCCTTTCCCCCAACAGAGCTGATACCCTCTACCATCTCTTCCTCTTCTCCAAAGACCCATCACTTCCAGAAGGCACTTTCTCTATTTGTGTCCATCAGAGCACTGAAACTATAGACCAAGGAAACCTGTGGCCTCCTGATGTTCTGACTTAACTCTTGGAAGAAGGTTTACTGTGCTCCCTCTGAGCCCTGGGCTGGGGGTAGGGGTGCCCCGTACCTTTCCCATCATTGCATGTGGGGACTATGGAGAGTGACATGACCTTGAACATCAGAACCAGCAGACAGGAATGCAAACCTGAGTTGTTTCCTCCTCTCTTTCCTCTAAGACATTTTTTGTGGGTTTGACACTTGTTATTTATTATGCTGTCCAAGGTATCTGTTCAGAGGGTAGGTACATTGCTCTGGGTATTTGCTTCTCCTTCTGGTCCCAGTTTCTTCATCTGTAAATAGATCTTTCCCTTTATTCACAGACATCAGGAACATAAATGTGGAGCTCACACATCCAAGTTCTTCCTCCTGCCCCTATAATAAGGTCTGAATTCCTTAGCAGGTCACTTAGATCTTGGCTAGTGAATCAGCATCTCCTGACATTCCTACACTCAGCTCTCCAGACTCTGCTCCCAGAGCTAAGTAGCTGCTTTTCTTTTCTCCAGTTCTCAGGATACATCTTTATGCTCCTAGTCTCAGATCACCCCTCCCCTCTGCTTGTCAGGTCCTTCTCCAGTTGAAATCTTCCTTATCCTTCAAGATTTGTTCTTCTGGAGGCCTTATCAAAATCCACCACTCTCCATACTGTGTAGCTGTGGCCCTTAGCATCTCTTTCACACCCTCATCACTGCCCTTGCCCTACAGCTCATCTGTTCATCTGTCTCTTCCATCAAGCTGTGATTCCTATGAGAACAGGAACCATGTCACTCATGTTTGTATCCCCAATGCTCAATTTGGTGCTTTGCTCATTATTAATAGTCAGCATTTGTGAAATTAAATTCCAGTGTCTATAAATTCACAAATTAAAACTCTTGAAGATTCAAAGTTAATTTCAACCCTTAAATCATGTTTAAAGTGAAATTGTATTTGTTTTCTTATTTAAATCCCAAAGCAGCTCACTAAATTATATGATACCCATTTTTCAGGTGAAAAAAAGAGAGGCACCGAGAAGTTTAATAACTGGAGCAAAGCCACCCAGCGAAGGGAGTCTCTCTAACCTTAAAGGTCATACTTTTCCTGTTAGGTTAATGACCTTTGATAATTCACAAAATATGTGATTCTCAAGAAGTGAATCTGGGTTGGTTAAATGGAAAGAAAAAGGTTAAGAGTGGTGGGGGATGGGGAGCAGGAAAGAGGTTGAATCCTCATCCTCATGCATGAGGCTTCAAGGCCCTATCTCCCTACTTTGTTACAGCTTTCTGTTAAAGGAGCTGCTTTAGAAAATATGTATGTTTAAAAAAAAAACAGCTTATAAAAATAATGTTATCTTTTTCATCTCCACTAGTCCATAAATGTGGTAGGAAAACTTTGCTAATCACAAGGGGAATGCAAGAAAGACAGGAATTTAGAACTGTGGAGTCGAATGGTGCCTTAGAAGTTAACTCAAGGGCTGGAATGTACCTCAGAAATGTGGCACTTGCTTAGCAACACAGCCCTGGACTAGATCCCTAGCACCAAAAACAAAACAAAGTAACTCAAATTCAGAGTGATCATGTCTAGAGTATGGACCCAGAACAGTGTCTAGGGCCCATTAAACACATAATCCCCACTTGTAAATAAATGAAGGAAGATGGAAATCCAAATTGGTGCTTCAACTGGCAGCCTCTGCCCAGGAGCAATTTTTCATCACAAAATACTGCACATTTCAGTCAGCCCAGCTCATTCTCCCTGTTTCCTAAAATCTTTGACACCTTCCCTCCTGCTTCCCACCAAGCCCAAGAAAATTCTGTTTTGCAACTATAGTTTTAAATTGCATTTCTGGGCTACATTTATGTAGCCCTTCCAACTTTTTTTCCTAGCAGATTCTCTAGAACATCTAGCTTCTGAGAATGATGTCCTGTAGAATCTTGATAATAAAAAACATTAAATATATATGCTCTTCTCCAAGAGTCTCCAAGAATCTCTCCATATTTCTAATTTCATTAACAGAGTTCTTGTGGTCTGCAAATTGGGAGCTGGTAGTCCTCATCATCTTGTTATTGCATCTACAAATGACCACACTTGTTCACTAAAGGCACTTAGACAAGTGTTGGCATAAACTGATGTTTCATTTGTTGAATCCATTTAAGCTACAATGTGTATACATAGGAATAGCTATTGTAATTTAAATAATGTTTTTTATGAATTTTGTAGCTGTTGTCCCTTAGGATATAATTGGTATAAATGACAGAGCTGTTTTCCTTTGATTTCTACCTTGTATGAATTTTGTAGCTATTGCATTTGAACTCCCAAGATCACTGGGTGAAGTGTGTTCATGAAAGTAAAGTCTTAGAGGTCTATGATTAGCAAATCTTCCAGGATCCTCAACCCAACTTTAGCACACAATGCTTTGAAAAATTAATTTGTTTGATGAAGAAAAAACATTTATACTGCACAGTTTTCTAAGGAGGGTTTATGGTTTGCTGAGCACAAAGTGATGGCCTTGGTAGAATAAACTTTCAGTCACTGAACACTGAATTACTCTGAATAAGAAGTAGGAAAAGCCTGACCTCGGGGCAGAATCTGGGAGCCAAAGGTACTGGCTCAGAGCTGGGGAGCTGAAAAGGCTCCTCGTGGAAAAGATCAAGAGAAAATTAAAATGACCTAAGGCTTGACCAAAGTCTAAAGCAAAATGAGAAAATCTCAGGTGTTAGAATCAAAGTAGCAAGATTGAACTAAACTGGAATAACTCCTTCCCCAGGTTTTGAAGCTGCCCAAGGCCAGGAAGGCAGGGCTGTTATCTGGTGTCCCTGAAGAGATGGGGGAGGAGGCTATAAGCCTTATATAAAACACATAGCCCAGGTATCTTACTTTATGTTATCTTTACATACTTTGTTATCTTTACATAAAGTAAGATACCCTTAGTTTTTTTTGATGGCTGCCTTTGTAATTATTACAAATATTTGCCACCAGTAACAAAATATGGAAAAGAAAACATATTTGTACCCTCTGGACTCAAAAGCAGCAAAGAATCTGGTGACTCCTCTGGGCCAAGGTGGGAAAAGGCATCCTGGAGAAACCAGAGCCCCACCTAACTCCCAAATGCATACTGTAGTGGCATAGAAATACCCAGCTGAATAAATGATTTAAAAAAACTTTTTCATCTTTATTTTTCATTGGCACTATGGCCAATAATCAGGATGTACTCTGGGAAGGAGGAGAGAACCATGTCTAAAAGGATTTCTTTGTGAGACACTACAGTTTGCTGTGTAAACTTCCTCCATTTTCTCTTTAGCAAACATACAAATTTCTCACAATTTATTTATCTGAACAGAGTTTTGTTTTGGAAAGTTCAAAGATTGGCATAGGGTATGTGTGAATACCCCTTTGCATTTGAGATATGTAAGGAAAGCAGCAAGAGATGTGTCAGCATACCAGAACAAGGGAAAACATACACCATGGGGATTTTCAGGGGTAGATAATTAATGGTGCCTTAAGGCAATTTTTATTGTTATAAAAGAGTCACTGACACCCAAACCAAGAAAATGTTTCTGTGGTTAATGGCCCACTGACTTGGCCCCTCTCCCTGGTATATGACCTACTTCTCGAAACAACTGGGTCTTAACATCTGTGAATATGACATAGTTGTTTCTGTACAAACTATACCTGGAAGTCAATTTGTGTCTGTTTTAATTTCAGGACAGGATTCCATGGCTTTGCAATTTGCATGACATTTTACTAAGGTAAGAGACCATAGGGCTTTGGCATCAGCCAGAAAGTAAAAACTCGCATGAGAAAAGACAGTGGTCACAAGTCACAACCAGGTAATGATAAAGGATCCCAGAAATAGAGTCCACTCCTTTCAAGTAACGAACACGGATATCAACGAGCCATGGACAGCACATACGTTATTTGGGCTCTGGGGACAGATCTCCCACCAGCTCCACAATTTCTAGCTGGCAGTCTTGACAGCCATTCAGTTTCCACGCCTGTTTCTTAATCTGTAGAATGGGGATAAATATAGTTCCTACTCACAGATTATTGTGAGAAATAAAATGATGTATGGATTATGTTCTAAAATGACTAATATACAGTAAGTCCTTACAAAATTTTAACTGATGCCACCCTTCTTCTATGTGAATGTGTAATTACATACACTTCCAAGAGTAGGCTAAATCACACATTAAGTTATGTAATAATTCAAGGACTTGGAAGAGAGAAGAAGATGCTATAGCCTATCTTAGCCATTACTTTTTCTCCCTTTTAAGTTGTGACAATCAGGAAAGACTGGGGTCATTTGTAAGTCAACACATAATTGTCCACCAGGATTGGAGAGACCTGCATTATCCAGCTCTCTATCATGCCTCTAACAAGATCCTTCCACCTGGGGCCTGACCCCACTGGAAATTCTGGTTGGGACTGGTAAAGGATAAAAGGCAGGAAATGGGTTTGACTTTCTAAGATGAAGTCATATTTTATCAAATTAATACCATCTGGACCATATGAAGTTAGAGTATACTTATGATTAGAAATTCAACTTGCTCTTTTCACACCCTATTGACATGGCTGGGCTTAGGGTTTTACTGTAGAGAACTCCTGCCCATCTATTGATGTCAGAGTTTCTTTACTGTAATACTGACCAGTAATCAAAGCAGAAGTGACAATCCTCAGGAGGGCCTAGACCAGACCTCTAGATTGAGAATAAACAAGCTCACACCATGGCTGTGGGGCAGACCCTATGGCTGAGCCTGTAGGTTGGGTTCTCAGCACATTCCATCCAGTGGGTCCCAGTTCGACTTGGCCATAATATCAAAGGAAGGCCCCTTAACTTTCTATCAGATTTTTACCAGCATTTTTACAGATTTTTACACCAGCATTTACCCTCACCTCTTAACTCTAGTCACAGCCTAGCCCCAAGATGAATGCCAGCCACACACTGTAGCCCAGTGGAACCATGGTTCACTCTCTTGTGTGGTCTCTGGCCACACAGGTCTCCCCTTACTGGTGCTCAGTTATACTGCCTCTACTTCTGGCTCCAGTTTTCTCCTTGGTACATCCCTGGAAACTTCTCCCATCCTGTTCACCTTGCCCACTACAGGGACTGATGCTCTCTTCTGCCCTTTTCTCTAGCTCTGCACTGGCAACTACTCCCACACTTCACACCATGCTGCAGAATGTGGATGGGGAGAAGCCAGTTGTGGAGTGCAAATCACTAAATGTCCTGCAGAGGACCTGATCCAACCATTTGCATTGCACAGGTACATGCCAGCGGCTCATGTCCATACACTGAGGCTGAGCATGTCCTGCATCCATAGGAGCAGTCAGCAACACTGAGCTCTTCTGTATACCAGGCATATCAAGCAAAATTATTTTCCCTTAGGACAGCTCTATAGCAGTTAATGTGGGTAGTCCCAATTAACAGATGATGAACTGACCCCCCAGGAAGTAAATACTTTTGTCTGAGATTCTTCTGTTGACTAGTGGAAGATCTTTAACCCAAAGCCAGGTACGCTTGATTCTTAACTTGCATTTTCTGACATTTTTCACTGACAGAGAAGTAAAACTGGAGCCCTCCACCTAGAATTAAGACTGATTATTTTAGCTAGGCATGGTGGTACACACCTGTAATCCCAGAAGCTCAGGAAGAAGGAGGATCACAAGTTCAAAGTCAGCCTCAGCAACTTAACAAGACGCTGTCTCTAACATATTAAAAAGGGCTGGTGGGGGCCGGGGTTATGGCTCAGTAGTAGAGTGCTTGCCTACCATGCATGAGGCACTGGGTTTGATCCTCGGCACCACATAAAAATAATAAAAACAATTTTAAAAACAATCTAAAAAAAAGAAAAACGGCTGGGGATGTGGCTCAGTGGTTAAGCAACCCTAGGTTTAAAAAAAAAAAAAAAAAGACTGATTATTTTAAATGTCTTAATTATTTAGCCCCCTACCTCCCTCCTTTCTTTCCTTCCTTTCTTAAACAGAGATGTAACCTCAGGACAGCATGTGGTTCTAGCCTGTTCAGCCTTAAAGAAAACATACAGAGACATCTTAATTCGAGGAAAAAATGGTGCACCTCTGAAGTCTGGGAAGTCGAGAGAGGAAGAAAAGCCAGCTGAGGTGCAGCTCTTGGTGGTCCATCTGAGCGGGTCATTTGAGGTCATCTCTGGACGCTTACACCAAAGAAAAGAACATTTTATGCCGCCTGCATTATTACAGTCCCAGTTTGATACTCTGGAGCCCCCATCACCTCCAGAAAACTTCATCCAAATCAGTGTAGACAAAAGTCTTTCAGAGATCATTGCTGTAATTATGGAAACTCTGAAAATGAAATGACACACATCAGTGGTCCAGAACAGAATCAGTCATAGATGTGTCCTATTCCAGACCTTGTTCCAGTCTCCTCATCCATGCTGTATTCTAAATGCTTCTTAAGGTTGAACCAACCTTGGTGTGTCAAGATGTACGTGTTTGTAGGAATTTGTGATGTGCTTGGCGTCATGGGCTGTCACGTAGGGAGAAAAGGAAGGGAACTTTAAAAATCAAGCTTAAATTGAAGTTTAAATTCATCAGTGATGCCATCAAATGACCAGAGGAAATTCTGTAATTGATGATAGAAATCACTAGTTTGCTTAGAACATTTTCCACTAATGCCTATATTTTATAATAAATGAAACTTGATTCTATCCTTGAAATCCCCTGGTAATTGGTCTCTGGAACAGAAATGTGTGCAAAATCGGCCATCTAGTAGAAAGTAATCTCACTCCACACACTGCCTAATCTGTTCACTATCCTTGAGCTGCAGTTCTAGCAGCAGCTCCTACGTTGAGATCTCAAAAGCCAATATGGGTAGAACAAGCAAGCCTTGCCCAGCTCTTCAAACAACCTCTGCAAATATATCAGCAATACCATGTTTCTTGCCTTTTAGCTAAAATTGTCATTTAATATGATATTGTCAGTAATCAGCCCAAAGTGTGCAGCAGTATAGGAATATATAAGGTATGCGATTCCAGGTTTTAGTGTTTGGGAGCACAGCATTAAATGATTGCATGCATGTGATTCTCCCTTACATTTCTATTACTCCATCTCTCTGAGACATTGGGGATGCCCGTTTTGTGCAAGTGTCTTTTGTGCAAATGTCCCTCCCAGCCCAGGCTGATCCTGTGATCCAAAATGAAGCCCTGCTTGCCAGAACTTACTCTCGGATTCCCAGCCCTGGGTGCTCATGAGTCAGCTGTGGAACACTCAGATCAGGATCCTGGGCTCCCTCGTATATTCACCGTCCAACAAAGAGCCACAGGCTTCAGACTTCTATGAGCTCATGGTCTCCCCACAATTTCATCACTTTACGTTGTTCTTGTATTTATTGTTATTTTGCTTGTATTTAAGGAAATTGACTATTTTTCATTCAAAGTAATGACTTTAAGTTTCTTTTAAAATGAAAAACATCCATATCTGCATCCCTTCATATGTGCAAGGGTTTCATTTCAAGACCAACTGGCCATACTCAAATCTTATATAATATGACCTAGTATTTGCTTAGAACCTCTAGGCATCTTCTTGCAATATTTCAATCCATCTCTAGACTACTTAATACCTAATACAGAGTAAATGCTAAGTAAATAATTGTCATACTGTATTGTTCAGGGAATAATGAGGAAAGCCTGTGCACGTGCAGTACAGAGGCATTTTTTTTCCTCAATGTTTCTATCCAAGGTTGGTTGAATCTGTGATGAATGTGGAACCTGTGCATGTGGAGTGCTGACTGCATATTTAAAGAAAGTAGGACATTTCAAGATAAAAAGCCAGGCGTGGTGGAGCATGCCTGCAATCCCAGCAGCTTGGAAGGCTGAGGAAGGAGGATGGTGAGTTCAAAGCCAGCCTCAGCAACTGAGGGAGGCACTTAGCAACTCAGCGAGATCCTATCTCTAAGTAAAATATTTATAAAGGGGTGAGGCTGTGGCACAGTGGTTAAGTGCCCCTGGGTTCAATCCCTGGTACTTAAAAAAAAAAAAAATGAATTCAAGATAAATAAAAAGTACACATGGTTCATGGATATACCAAAACTCCAAAGGTGAATTTGAGTGAATGAAACATGGGACTTTTTGATCCAGGCCTTCCTTAGTTTTAGAGGAGGCATTGGGGGTCCAGAGAAAGCTCTAAGACCAGTGGTATCTGCCTGTCCACCCGCCTGTGTAAAACCCATCAGTGATGGAGACTAGGTAGGCAGAGAAGTAGCACAAGAGCTGTTGTGGCTGTCATGAAACAACCTTGCCATGGGCAGCAAGGTCCTGCTGGCATGTAGCAGCTGGGCTGAGCAGCTTACTAGGTGGGAGGTAAGAGGTGCAGGTGTGCCCCTGGCACACAGCTTACAAAGGACCCATATATGGAGGCTGCAATCTGAGCAGCCTGGGCCTGATTACAGCCCTTCTTCCACCTACACTCCCAAGATGCATTATTCTTCTGTCCCATTCACTATCACAGAACCCAGCCACTGCCTCAGGCCCCTGGTTAGCTCTGGCCAGAGTAAGTTTTAGAATGAATTACTTCTTTCACAAGGGCATGCAGTCTCATACACATGAGCCTGAGACTCAACAGCTTACTGGAGAACTTTTAAAAGGGCACTTTTGAGTGGATGGGTTTTTTTTTTTTTTTTTAATTTGATTTGTTTTGTTTTTTAGTGGATGGCTTTTGCCTAAAAAAAAAAAAATGTGAAGTCTTGGATTTTTCTCCCTGCCAAGCTATTTGGGGCACCTCTTATCTGGCTTTAATTTAGATTGACCCTCATATTCAGAATCCAAACACTTAAAGTTATCCAATTAACATATTCCAGATAGATGAAACTCTGCTCCTGCACAAGATGGCATCAATGAACCCATTGTACTTAGTCCCCTGTGTGCTGTGATGGGCATTCTGGAGGATTTGAGGAACACAAAGCCTTACCTCTCAGGTGGCTTAAGTTTGGTTGGAGAGATAAGGCATCTAATACTCTCAGGCTATAGTCCTCATGAGAAAGGATGAATGTGGCAGGGCCCTTGAGAATACGGATTTAGACCTGCAGAAAGATATGTTCTGGGTAGACTGTGCCTTACTCCCAGTTCCCTTCCCAAAACAGAAGCCAAATCACATTCCTTGACAAAAGATTTGGACCAGACCTCCACAGCTGCTCCACAGTTGGACTACCATTCTGGGCACTGGGCCCTCTGTCATGGTGACAAGAAAAGGACAAATAGAGGAAGACAGTGGTTCTCAAAGCTGCATGTTAGAACCAATCACTTGAAGAAGTAAAACATGGATGCTTTCCCACCTGTTACAAGCCTACTGCACCAGCATCTCTCAGGAGGGAGCCTGGGTCCCTGATCTGAGATCGGTAGCCGGCTCTGATAAGCAGCCAAGGCTGGGAACTTAGGGTAAGTTCAGGTCATCAGGACCCTGTTTTTGATAGTTTGTGCTGAGCACCACCAGAGAGCAGCTCAGGAAGACTTATGACAAAAGTAAAATTCAGGGCTGGCTTGGTTCTGACCAATAATCCCTACAACTTGCTACGGACAATATGCAACCTCTGAAGTGAAGTTTTGGGCTGACAGGGTAGGAAGGAGGTGCTGCACAGAGTGGCTGTTGTTTGGGATCACAGATAGAAGGGACCAAACAAAGGGGTGGGGTGAATTTCCTTTCTGGCCAAGGACACTGATTTACATGGCCTTGGGTATAGCAGACCACAGGGTAAGCTGGACTTGCTAAGACAGTCTTCCCAGAGGAAAAGGACAGCCTCTCCCCTCTTAAATGTTTCTCTTGGTTTTGTGGTTGGTTTTGAGGTTGAGGAGACCTTTGAGTGAAGTGAATACACAAAGACAAGGAAGATGGAGCAAGCCATTTCAAGATTCATTTTCAAGATTCAAGTCAATCAGATGATGAATGAATATTCTTACAATTACTCAATCATCAACAGAAGTGAAGTACTGATAGGCACAACCACACAGATGAACCTTGAACATATTGCACTAAGTGAAAGAAACCAAAAAAATGCTACATATTATTTGCCATTTATTTTAATTATTTTTTAAATATTTTTTTAGTTGTAGTTGACACAATACCTTTATTTTATTCATTTATTTTTATGTGGTGCTGAGGATCAAACCCAGGACCTTGCACATGCTAGACAAGTGCTCTACCGCTGAGCCACAATCCCAGCCCATTTAATTATTTTTTAAAACATAAAAACCCTTTACTTTTTCTGGATTTTCAAGAAATGGTGTGTTATGACCATACATAATAGTGGAATTCCTTGTTATATATTCATACACGTATGTAAGAATTTTACATGAAGCTATTTAGCCGAAAGATCCAGAGCAGGTGAATCTATAGAAATAGGAAGCATATTAGTGGGTTGCTATGGGATGAATAAAATGGGAATTGGGACTAACTGCTAATAGGTTCAAGGTTTCTTGTTGAGGTGATAAAATGTTCTGGAAGTGGATAGCAGTAATGTTTGCACAATGTAGTAGAATATACTAAAAACTACTAAAGTATATTTTACAGTGCTGAATTTGATGGTATGAAAATTACCTCAATTAAAAAAAAAAATCAGTCCAGCAAATACACCACAATGTGTGAAGAGAGGCACAACTTCAGATCAAGTGCCAGCTCCCTCCCACTTGGAGAGAATCAGAGAGAGGGAAGCAACAGGCCTGAATACAGTTTCCAACCACTCACATTGAGGATAAATATTTTTTAATACAATCCCTAAGAGCAAGCCAGCTACTTCATCTTCACCGGAGATGAAGCACTAATCTATTCCCATGCTGGAGGGCAGAAGTTCATGTGGGACTTACTGAGAAGTAGACTGTGTTCTTCAGCCGTTCTGGATTTGAGGATACCTTTGACTGTAATTTGTGCTTTGTGAGCTGCCTTTCTATGTTCTAGATAGCCTCTTAGAGGCTGTAATGGTGAACTGGAGGCAGAACCTCAAGAAGTGGCTGGCAGAAATGAAGCTTCTTGTCTTGGTTTATCCAGCAGCCCCCACTTTCAGGAAGGGTACTGGGGAAAAAGAAATGAAGGTGGGACCTATCCTCAAGAAGCAGGGGTCTGAACAAGCAAACACATGGCTCTAAGACAGTGTGACACAAGTAGGCACAGATAATAGGCTCCTATTCCAGTCTGGGGACATCTGGAAAACTGTGGCATCTCCCAGTGCAGTTCAGTTGTTCCAGCCCTCTAGAACCCATAAAGCCATTGGTTTTGTGTCAAAATGCTGTAGGGACATCTTTAGTGGTCACAATGATGGTAATGAATGGGAAACAACAGGGACTGCCATTCAGCAGACAAGGAACAAGACTTCGTGCAGTACATGCCAGTTCTCAACAAAAAAGAACTGATTTCCAAATATTCTGTTGGACGTCGTGTACAACTAAATGAAAGCCTCCCCTCCCCCCATACTGGGGATTGGGTGCTCAACCACTGAGCTCCATTCCCAGTCCTTTCTATGTTTTATTTTGAAACAGGGTCTAAGTTGCCCAGGCTGCCCTCAAACAACCCACCTTCCTAAGCCTCCTGAGTCACTGAAATTACAGGAGTGTGTGACCATGTCCAGCAAACCTGCTTATTGTAACAATGCAGATCTATTTTATACATGAAAATACTTTTGAAGTTTTAATATACTCTGAAATCTCCAAGAATGCAATAACTTTGCATATAA